AAATTAATAAACTCAAAAAATATTATTATTGAATATAATTTGCATTTATTGATAAGCGGTTAAAATGTTAGGATTATTAAAAAAAAATACCTATATAGGTAAGTAAATTTCACTTTACAAAAATAAATACATATATATAAAATCTGTTGAATAATTTAAAATAACAGTATAGCTAAATAGTTCAAGACAATACATTTAAAAATCCATAATATCGAATTTCTGAAATTATGTTTATCATTAGAGCACACAAAATTTGTATTCATTGGTTTGTTAAGTCAATTAGTAAGTTCATCTCACTATGCATCTGTTTCCATGCACATACGTCAGATGACCAAATTGTTCTGAACTAGTGATATCTCTGATGTAAGTGTATGACAAGAGTAGACGTTTTTATGATCATACATCAAGCAATCTAAGTGGCGCAGGTTTGGCACACAAACTTTCATCCCTCATACAGTCATACGTCTATAATAGTTTATTCATCAGATGAAAACAAATGTGCCAAGGTTGTGGTAATTGACATTTAGACTGCCTGGTGCACGCTCATAAAAACGGTTGCATTCTGAGCAGAACGACTTCAGGAACAGGACAATTACACTTTCTGTCATATGCTCACGAAAATAGTTATAGGTAAAATTCAATTAAATTAACGTAACTATAGTCGGAGGTAGATCTTACGAAGATCAGTTTTGAGAGCAGAGAGTGGATTGCGGCTTGCAGTTTGGCTGCCATCTTGAACCCATCTTGATTGATACATGTTGACACTGCGAATAAATAAAAACATAATAAGCGCCACAATTTTAAATATTTTATTGATAGGATATAACATATACCGCCCAGATTGAGTGCGAAAGACATGATTACATTATTAAGGAGCCCAATGTGTCGGTTTTTAAAATTTTCCGCAATTCTATGAAACTTGAAAATTATGTTTTGTATTTTAGTTTCCACCTTAATTACAATACTTGTCCACTAATCTACAGCCTGATTCCTATTTAGGGGAGGGGGTTGATATGGTTTATATAAATATCCACGGACAAGAACAATAATATAAAGAATTGGGCTTGGATTTCTTAAATATAGAATATTCATTTGGGTTTTCTAGATAGTGCAGGTATAGAACAATGTAATGCGAAACTTTTATTTTAAATTGTTGTTGTTTTTCGAATTTTAGAGGATTTATTAGTATTTTTAGGTAAATTTATTTGTTTCTAATGCATACTTCATATGCACACATTTTTTGAGTTTGTAGTGTAAACTGTAAAGTTAGATGATGCAAAATATTATCTCAAGTACTTTATGTTGTTAGGTTTAAGCTTAATTATTTACTCACAATTTATCATACCACCTATGTCGTATACTCGTATGTATAAATTAGTTGAACGTAGACATTAACATAATCCTAATAAGTACCTATATGTATAATTTCCGCATTTATACAAAACTAATTAATACATTAAATAACTTAAATTTATTTTTTATTTGCATAATGTTCTAAATTGTAGTTTATTTGATTTTGTATAGACTATAGACATACATGAGGCCATTGTTCTAATATATAGCTAGATTCCAGTGGCCTCAAACAAGCGGACGGCAAACCCTCTCGATGTGGTCCATTGTTCAAAAATGTTTAATATTCATTATTATTATTGAACGATAACTTATTTTTAAATATTATATTTTTTAGTTATTTAAACATCAATAATTATCAAGGTAATATTATTTAACGTTTTTGACATTTTATTTTTATAAATTATAATGTAATGTACATTTTTTTTACTTAGGGGATCGGTGGTGAACAGTTTTTCAGGACTTAGAAATGGGTAATTTTCAAATTGCTTACACGCTTGTCTTGTAAATGCGTGCGTAGTAAATGATGATTAGTATGTGCTACTGCGTAAAAGAAATAGCGGATTGTTCCCGCACGCGCATGTTCATATCATCTATTCGACGTTGCACCAGTGAACTGTAAACAATTTATGCTCATTTGTATGCATTTTTTGTCCTTCGTACCGATCGACCTAATAATGCTATAATATTTTAGCAAACTGATCTGAATTCGTTGTAATGTCTACTTGAGATCGGTCAGTCTACATTTTAAGATTTCTAAATTAAATTCCAAATAGGTAATCAACTTTTAAAAATTTCAAAATATTCAAAGTAAATGTATAGTCTTGGGGGGGGGGGGGTGAAATTGGGAAAAGTAGACTGACCGATCTCAAGTAGACATAACAACAAATTCAAATTAGTTCTAAAAAGTATTATCGAATATATAATACTATATTATCGAATATTTACTAGGTCGATAAGTATGATGGACAAGAGATTGGTATATTTGGCTACAATAACTGTCCACCGATCCCCCTAATTCAATTCATGATTCATCATCAATCATGAATTAATATAAAAACTATACATAATAATGTAGTTTATTATTTTTGAAATACATGATAGTAAATATAAGAACTGCAGTGCAGTAATAATTTATATCAACACATTTTGTTTTATTTTAATTATAATTTATAGAGTTAAACAAAAAAAAAAAGCTACGAAAATGTTTTGCCTCTGAATACCTTATTGATGTATACATAAAATATGGCCCGCCGATTATTTAAATTTGAGACCACTGAACTAGAGTAAATAGTAATGTTCGATATTATTTTGTATTAAATATTAATAAATATACATTCAATTCATAAAGAACACTATGTAATAAATCACTAAAATATTAGCTACATTTTCTAACATTTAGCTTTATTTTTAATTTTTAAATAAGTTCGAGTGATTTAAACTCGCACTTTACGTTGACCAGGCAGCGTATTACATGTAATTAAATGCTGTTTTTTTTTTTACATACTTTGATATTCACGATTTATCTATAACTATTTTATGTTTTTCGTAGATAGGTATCAGATATTTATTTTTTTTATTGAATGTTGTCATGTTGAACAACATTTTCCAATTTTTTAAAAAATTTTTACGGCGTATGATGAAATAAGCACAAGTTAAAAAAGCTGACTATACCGAATCGCTAAATGCTGATTTGGGTATAATTTATATGTATATACTATTATACTATTTAACTATATAGCTATATAGTAAATAATTTTGATAAATAAATTGGGTAAATATACATAAATTAATACAAAAACATATTTAAATTTAAAATGACGTACAAAGTAGTACCAGTCAGATTTTAATTGGTAGGTACTTACATACTACAAACAGTTTACTATATTTTGTTATTTCAATTAATTCAGTACAACATTGTTATTAGTCCATCAGCACCAATTACCTTCATAATATAGGTACCATGTCTACCTAGTGGCTTGGTTAACTTATTTTAAAGCAGTGATCAAATAGAGAATATCAGCCCACCCACTCACTAAAATTAATATTCAACTGCATTATTTACTTATTATTTATTAACTATTTCTACTCCAACTTTTTACACCCAGTATCCACTACCTACCAACTTTTTAACCATATAGGAGCCGAGGCACCTGGAAAACCCCTCCACCATGACAGTGTGCCTAGCTACTTGTACACAGTATTAAAGATTAATGTATATTATTTTTTTCATTGGCAAAAGCAGTGTCAATTACACTTTGAACCCTTATAAAAAAAACTATTAACTTAATATTTGTTATAATTTATATAGTGTGCGTCAACATTTATGGATGAAGTATTTTGATTTCTGAATTAAGAGGATGTTAGCAGTTCAGCTTTCAGCACACTATTTATTTTCTCTTTTCCGTCCACTTTCAACATAAACTTAACTAATTCACCCAAAATCATTTTCAAAAACATAAATACTTACCTTTTATTATTTTGTAACCTAATACAAATGCGGCCACAGGTGCCTGTTGTGGGGAGGGCAGGTGTAGGGACAAGATGGTGCTTGCCCCCCTGGATTGATAATATGAAGTTATAACTTAAAAATAACAACTAGTATATTACCTAATCACCTTACTTAACATTAAAATATATTAAACAAATATTAATTATTAATAAATTTATATTTTGAAATAACATCAAAATTGTATTTAGCTTACATTTGAGACATTTTTTATAATACCCCATTTCTCTAAAATGTTACTAATTTCTGAATACGTTTGACATACCAACCTATTTTATTATTTTTATTGTTTCAAATAGTTACCTAACGGTAAACGTATAACCACAAAATAAAGTATACCTATGTCTTTATATCATACCGACGAACAAAACAAAAAAGTTTATCCTTACTCCTCAGATACAAAAATCCCTCTTTTACCTATTTGATCGCCAAGACATTGTCATCCATAATTATTTTCTATCTGCGTGTGCACTAACAGAGCTTGTGAGTTGTTCTGTCAATAGCACCAACTATTATACTCAGCACATCTAGTGTATTTAACTTATAATGAGTAGATTTTGTAGCACACGGTACATCTAAGTTTTATTTTATTACCTAGTCACAGTTGGCAGTAAATTCTAAGCTTGATAAAATAATAAACGATATAAGACGCCATTTTATGTAAAGGAATATTTAGTGAAAATGTATGCTATTAAAGTATCATTAGAATTAATAATTATAACTTTAAAAATTCAAACAAAGCTTAAACAGTATTATTATATTCTTGAGTATTTAGAACTATACAATATATAATTTACAAGCATTATATTATCATTTTTAAAACTAAGAGTTAAAGTTTTAAATGTTTTACCTTACATTGAGAATAAATAAGAAAATATGAATAAATATTCTTCAAAAATGTTGCCGTAGACATAGACTAAAATTATTCACGAATAATTATTATTTTTTAAAACTATTTCACTGTATTTTTAATTTTATTTATGTATTAAGTATCTTTCTTGTGAGAAACTGTTTACAGTAAAAAATATCTTATTCAATAACAATATTCATATTTTAAATTATATTATTCATTTTGGGCTAAATGTATAAACATTTGTATGTTTGATGATTGGTAATTTTAAAATTAGAATTAAGTTTGATTTTTTTTACAAATTTATTCTAAATACAATTAACTTTTTGTTTAAACATGCTTACATATTTATGTACAATATTAAGATATTATATGTTTCAAGTGATGTAAACAAGTATTGGATTATGATACAGATTTTTAATTATTTTCTTCAGTATCAGTTTCAGGATAGTCAATGATTTTACGTGTTCTTTCTTTTATAACATTGTGTTGTCTTTGATATATTCTGAATACACCTTTTACTGCAATGTACACTAACCCACCCTGTAACAGAAACATAAATATTAGAAATGAACACTTGCATTAATATTCATTAAATTTTATAATAAATAATACTTACCAATAAGGTTTTTTGTAAGTATGAATATGAACTATTGTCAAATAATAAATTTCCAACTACAGTCGCAGTAGTTGGCAATAAAAGTGCAGCACAAAGAGTAGTTGTTGGATTAACGACTGAATTGAATTGGACTGTACTCGTGGTACTGTTGACAGGTTCACACCTAAAAGTCAATACAAATACAATTAATAATCAAATAACTAAACCATTATAAGTTAAATATAAATAGTTTACAAAAACGAAGGCATGATGGTTCTTAACAAGGGTAGTTGTGAAGCAAATCTCTGCACAAATAATAATAAGGTTTCTTCCCAATTGATTGTTTTGCCTAAAATTAGACTGAGAGGTATTGATGGCAACACCAAGAGTAACATATATGAATCTGTATTTTCCATCATTGTTATAGCTTCTCTTTCACCCATTACCTAAAAAATCTTCATTTTTAAGTTCTATATAAATAAATAATCTAACTAATTAATATTAATTAACCTGCATCATCGTTATTGCTCCATAAGATGCTGCTGACCAATAAAGAGTGGTGACCACAACGCCAGCTGCCAAAAAAGGACATAGCTGATTTGCTGTCTTATCAAGTTTGTTTAATAATCGAACTAAGTAATCTGTAAAATTATAAAAAATATTTCACGACATAATGTAATTAAATGTAATACAGATTTATTTTTATAGCAGTATTTTTCAAATCATACTAGATAATATGAAAACAAAAAAATGTTTAGTAAAGTGAAAGTTATCTGAAATAGAACATTTAATTCATGTCATATAAAATATTTTTCCTAGCAAAAAAATGTACTAATATTGAATTGAGGAACAGAATTTTTGTTATATTTAAAAAAAATTCTTTAAATCTGAAGTTATTTTATTCCCATAAAGTCTTAACTATCATTAATATTATAACTCTACAACACTTACTGACTTCATCATACACAATAATATATTGTGTGTGGCATTGAGGGCAATGTGCTTTAACACTAATATTTTCTTTCAGTTTTTCGTCAACCCAACGTTGAACACAACCTTGGTGAACCTAAAATAACAATATTAAGCGTGAATCAATACAACGGTTGACAATACATTATTACTAAAGTTTGATTGAATAAATCACAGATACACAAAACATTAATTGTTATAAATGTCTACTATAATATAGTTTGTTGAACGTTTATATAGAAAATGACAAGCAGCATCCTTATTACCGTGGCAGGAAAGAAACCTTGAATGACCCGGCAATCATTTGACACTCGCCTACATTCAATTAGATAGTTTTTTTTAAATGATAGTTCTATCATTTTATTCTTCAATAAAACTCATATTATAAATTAATTGTCAATGTGGTTGAATTATTCAAACTAATCAAAATGAGATTATTTAAAAAAAATTTGTATTTGAAGTGAAGTATTGATAAAAAGAATTAAATAATATTAATTGTCATAGAACAAATAAATGCGTTCTATTATATTGTTAGGAACCAATATGATTCGTATGAAGAAATTTGAAAGAAATCTGATGAAACTCTAGTATTTAGAGATAATTTATCATCAAACAATACAATAGTATGGTATTCATTATACATCCATTTTTGTTCCTACATGTAAACTCAATCCAAAAATATGGTCGTTTGGGACAGAAGGCATTCTAGGATAACATTTCATAAATTAATATACTTATATTTTTATATTTAATTCTGATATTAAAACATAGTCTATTCTTATAAAGACTTTGGCTAACGGATTGAACACATTAATCTTATTGTAAAATACAAAATATATCAAAATAACATAAATTACTAGTCATAAGTAATCAACTGCAGCAGAAACTAGTTAAAATGTCCATTACTTCGTTTTTTATCATATATATTAAAAATTATTAAATATTTGAACACAATATGTATTATAATATTGAAGTCGACTATAATAATATTTTTACTAACATTAAAATGTTGTCAGTAGAGCATACACTACATGATAACTATTTTTGTATAGCAATTAATATGTACCCATATTAAATATTATGAAAAATTACCCATCGTGTAGAACCGCGACATTTACATGGTGATACCCAATCTCTGTTACTTTCATAATCATCTTCATCAGTACCAAAACAAACCCAACAGTGTTTCGGCCTAGAATATATTAATAAGCATATTAAAATAATACTTTATACTACATTAATACCAGAGATAGAATGAACAATATATAACTAATACTAGGTTATATGATATGAACGCTTAACGTGTTAAGCTTTATATGAAATAAACAGTATTGATATAAACAGAACCAATTAAAGTGAATACTTACAATATTTAAATTATTAATTAAAAATTATTAATAAATGATTAATGTTTTTGAGTTTGATTTGATGTACATTATCTATTATTAATTAAGTTCATATAAGAACATATTTTTAATTGTCAATAGAGAAAGTCAAGTAGAGTTCATTCCACCTCTCATAATCAAACATTACAAAATTTACTCAGATGTTTCTTGACCGTAGGCAGTTGAACGTTGGCCGATATTTCCGTTTTCCATTTTTATGAGATTTTAACTAAGCGATTTACTTAATAAATTTATTCACAAGTGTACAATTTATAAACTTATCATTCTATAAAAATTAAAATCAACCAGTTACTTTGCAAAGACATGAATGTTCAAAACACCTCAAGTCCTAATACTATATTATATTATGTACTTATCAAAGGAAATAATACAATATTGTACATTACGTGATTTATTGGTACAGGTAAACAAAGTTCCTGTAGTAGATAAAAAAAAATAAAAACGTAGTTCGTCTGTTGTAAATACTTAATAGTCTTGAATACAATTATTACAGCCTGAAGGATTATTTGTTGATCAATTATTGTTCATAGAAATACTGATTACTGAATAAAAGTCAGGTATTGTTACTTATCACATATTTTTTTTATCAACAGCTGCTGTTGTCCAATCGCAGAGCTCCCTGCCACAAAATAAGAGAACGCCGACCGATGGTGAACAAAATTATAAAAAACGTCCGAAACTGAAAAGTATGAAATTAATACGTAGTTACGTAACGACTAACGAGTAACGACACAAACAATAAAATTATTAAAATATCACCTCGCCAATTGTTTTTGGTCTGGTTATAAAGAACTTATAATCGTGGTTATTAATAACAATAATTTATTGCATTGTTCGGTATAAGGTAGGTAGGTACTTCATATTCAAACGAAAAAACGTACCTGTACAAAAGCAATAATTATCAAACTTAAGTCCGAGCACACAAGCAGGTTACCTACTCTGTAATTGAAAAACAATTAAGAATTCTAATACAATACGAAGAAAATAATATTTATTATTATTGAGTTGGAAATTTGGAATAATTTACTTTCGCCGTCCCACCGTTCGTCGAATCATAACGTGTTTAATCCAGACAATCACTAGATCACGCCACATTCAAGTATTAATCGGCACGCAAATCAAATAATGTTGCCCAATGTTTATTAATACCTAATTTTAACTGAATATGTACTTGAAATTTACAGATTGAAACAATTATTACACTAATCGGAGTCAATCATACAGGCATACAGCTCGCGCTACAAAGTATGTAACGAGTAATGCACCTGAATTTTTATTGATCTTAATCATCGGCAACTATGGCCACTATGGCCATTTTTATAGGGTGGCACCCATCCAGGAACTAGCGACGCCTGCCTAGGCTTGACTTCAAAACACGTTGGTGAGGCCATCCACCGAGCTATACCAGGCCCCTTTGTAATATTTTATGTTATAATATTATACCTATACACGGACGAGTTTGTGTATAAAGTTTCGGTCTTACAAGTTTTAAGCTAACAGTTTTTAACACAACCACTTTATTCTTTTCAAAATTTGACATTGGAAACTATATTAAAATAAAATATATAATTTATTGGCGAACTAGAACATGATATTTTGAATTCAAGTAAATTATCGAACTTATTGGTGGTCGGTTAGGTTAGGTTAGGTTATCTAATAATATCTAATTATTCTAATAACTTGTAGACAGTATAGTAAATATTTTCCGCCTGTCCAGGTCCCAGGTGCCTCACCCATTCACCGTATTTTATACTTTTTTATTACCTAATGGGAGTAAAAATATTTAAAATATGAGTTATAACTTATAGCTGTATACAATTTAAATTTTTTAATTGTGCCCCCCTCCCTTAAATACTCCCTGCGCCTGTCTTTGTGTACCTACCTAACACGCACTGACATAATATACAGAGTGATTTGCCTCAAGCATGCTCACCAGCCCTTTTTTCTTCAATAATGCAGTAATTATTTAAAATCTGATTTATAGAATTCTAAAATATACCCAAAAGACTATTTTTCTTGTTAAGGAGGGTCTTGTGGAGATACAAACTTTTGTTTATCAATTAATGATAACCTCCCTTTTCAACTGTCAAATACCTATCTAGTGGATAACTTTTCTGAAAATATTGACGTATCAAAATCAACATTCGAACTGGTAGTTTTTGAGTTATTTTTCTATATGTACTAAGGATAATAGCCAATAAGTCCATTATAATGAGTTTGAAAGATGGTGACTGTAGTGATTAATATTAACCAAATTTTAATAAAAAATAATAAATTGTAAAAATAGTCCAATTAGTCCAAGTACAACAAATACTATAAGATCTATTATTACATCTACTTTATATTTATGTAAAACCATTTTTAAGGACTATTATCCTTAGTGGGCATAAACCACAATGCATAGATACTAAATAATATTATCTACATCGTGGTACAAATTTTAAGATACATCAAATTTTTCAACTACAAAAATATCCACTGAATAATAATTTACAGTAAAAAAGAAGCGAAGTTTTTTATTTGAAAAACGTAAGTTTGTGTTACCATGTGGTCATTCCTTAATTTTAGTACAAAAAATTCAAGAATTTGAGTATAAGATCTTTAAATATATTTAAAAATGTTCAAAAATCATAAAATTAAAAAATGTGACTGAGGATGATTAGTGTATTATGTACATATAACACACACACATATATATATACACCATTAAACCTATGTATGTATATAAACTATACGGCCATTTATCAGTTTTTAACTTTTGCAGTATAACTATTTTATTACATTACCTACCTATAAAATGTTTAATAACTAAGTACCTATTACTATATTAGCATATAATAAGAGGTGCATTTTATTAATACACTATACGTAATAAGTGTATTTAATATAATATATTATGATATTATCAGTGGCGCAACCAGGGTGTTCCGAATTCAGACCCTCTCACCCTTGGATTGTATTATTACTAGTACGTGTATACAAGATTTTTTTGTTTAGTTGATTAATTCTCTGTGTTTAAACAAGTATGGACCCCTCCTTTCTTTAAAAAATTCTAGTTGCGACACTGATACACATTATACATATTATATATGTATTATGTATAGTTATAATAATACAGACAATCTTATGTACATATTACATAGGTTACAACTTACATACCTATTACTTATAACTGTATAATAATATTATTACACACATAGGCAAACATTTTAATATTATGATACAAAATAATGTAGGGTCGGTGCGCTGTTTCCCGTTGATAAGCACTTGAGCTGCAGGAGATACAAAAAACGGATATCACTCCCGCGGCACTAGTACTTAGGAACAGAATATGCGTTATTGTAGAAATATCTATCTTATAATTGGACATAATTAATAATACAAACTTAGATGTATTAAGATTTTATGCATCAATGAATTTTAAATACAATAGAAATAAAACATTATTATTATAAATTAATACTTATCAAATGTATATATATTACTATTATAGGTACTATCTAAATAATATTAGACTTTAGTATAAGTAGATAATATTATTTTAATAATATAATAATAATAATAATAATATTTTGATTATTTTTAAAGAATGTAATACATGTACTAATTATAAACAATAATAATAATATTATTAATATTATTATTATTAATGTAAACGGATTTCTATCCGAAATCCATACCACTAAATATACGGCTTCGTCTATAGTATATAATACTCAATTTAACAATGTAAAACAGTTTAAATACTTAAAAGTTAAAATAATAATATATGAGTCAAGTTTTATTATCTAGGTACCTATTTAAAATTAGTCATTTAAATGTAAGGTCAATTTATAATCTATATAGGTAGGTAAGTATAGGTACTACAACAATTATTTCAGATGTACCTATTTACAAAATTAATGAATAAAATCGATTAGGTGTAAGCATTTTAACAGTTATTTATGAAATGTAAATATAAGTAATAAGTACCTATAGTCAGGAGGATTTTATAGAAGTAATAAATTAAAAAAAATATCAACTTAATATTTTTACTTGTAGAAAGGACTCCATAAGAAAGTAAAATTATAGATATATTTACATAAAAATATAATTAGGTACAACTGTAGAAGTTATACACTAGTTAAAGCATACATCTACTAACAATATACAATAATTATTAATAAGTTACCGTAAACATTAATATTTCGACCTACGTAGCCAGGACAGTTTTTTTTCGAAAGAACCATTTTAATGCATTTATTAAGTTACTTCTATAAAAAAATTAACAGAACACTTGTATAAAAACCTATAGGTGGCTACGTTATAAACTTATACTTGTTAATTTTTGAAAATGTATTCTATTCCATAATATTGTGTAATATGTACTCACGATTTTAAACGGTTGTTTAAATTCATTTTTCTGTAATAGAATAAAAAACAAATATATTCAGTGTGATCGTATAAACCGTATGCGATTAGTGATAAATGTTAAAGTTTGTAACGTATACTATACACTACAACTTTGTGATTTAACATTAACTTTAATAGATGTTACCAAACGTTTGAGCTTAGATCAACTAAACGAATACAGAACAAACACACAGTTTGTCATCCTTTAACTATTTCGACCAGCTTAATAATGGGTTCGTGTGGGGGGATAAATTAAGGTTTTTATCATTCATTGGCGGAACAATCTAATTCGTATCTTCAAGGCACGACGTTACACCCACTCAGTGTAGTCATTATCCCAGTAAACATTTTAAGTTCCAACATAAATCGTTTTTTACATTGCTATTTCTAAACTATTTATTGACAAAAATTAATTTTAAATAAATATTTATTATCTTTGATATTCGAAAATAACGATACACTGCGATAAAAAAACTATGTACCTATAAACTGAAATGCACATAGGTACCTATTACGCGGTCTATATGACTATAATATGGATGATTAACAAACATACAACAGTTTTTTTTTACAAGTCTTGAAAGAAATTTTTTTATATAATTGTAAGTCATTACAAAACTACTCACGCGTTTATAAAGATGTAATTTAGAAAATGAGGAAATTATTACACAACTATTAGAGAGCCTTTTTTGTAAGCAGTAAAACTTTCAAGTGTAGATAACTCGGGTCCGATTTTTTAGAAATTTTCATTTTTAAGTCACTATCAACATTGCCTATATCTATAGTAGTATAAGAGCTATTCCGATGATACCACAATGTGTCGACATGAGTTCTTAAATATAATATGTATAATAATACATAATTTATAATATAGTGTTCATACTACATACGGTGTCTTATTATTTTTTTACAAAAATAAGCCAATGCGGGAGGAATATGACACCCTCATCATCACCCTCGTGAGCACGCCTCTAATTATTTGAGTATAAATATGCATATATTTATATCCACACATAATCATGTTAATATGCCTATAATGCTAACTTTATGTGTAGGTTTATGGAGTAAAAAAAATTGAAATTTTGTGATAACGTGAAACTCTGTTGGGTAGAATTAATGTTCAAACCTTGACCACATTGAATATTCAAATTTCAAAAGTATAGTAATGATTTGTTTATAAGTACATCATACTTAAATGGATTTTCTTATTATTCAATAAATATTAATCGTAGAAACTTGAAATATTCCACTATTCCCCGAGTTATCGAGTTATCATTATTATTTTTTTCTTAATTAACATCGGTGATAAAGGCCATTAGTTACAATTATTTACAATTACATTTTTTAAAATTAAAATTTAAAATTTTACTGTACAGATTTGTTTTTCTTAAGAATTTAAGGATTTGTGTGATGGTATCTGCGTCTGATCCGAGTGCTGCATCTAGTGTGTTGGGTATGTCGTAGTTTCTTTGTTAATCTACGTATTGGAGGCATTCGGTGATAACATAATTAACTGAGAGTTAGGTTCCCATTATTTTTTATATTTAATGAAATTTTCAAAATATTTAGACTAATTTAAAACTATTTAGAGTCATTTGATATTTTCTAAATTGTTTAGTTTTTTTCCTATAAATGTTGATAGAAATGTGTATGCTAAGACGCTAAGTTAAAAAGCTTGAAAATGTCATATAAGATTTCTTATATTTTTCAATTTTCGTAATTTATTATTTTTATTACATTGCCAATTATTTCAAACTACGTAGATCGAGGCTGATACAAATATAGAGGTTTTCAATGGTTGGTCTTTTCAATTACCTATTATTTATATATTTTCACTTGGTCAAAAATCTTAAAT